TCCTGACAAATACACTGTACTGACTGCTCCGCTGGAACTCTTGTAAAGTTCCTCCATTTTGTTAATGATTCTTTCAATATCATGCGAGCGCCTAATGATAACATGTGGTGGGCGCGATGCGAGAATGCAAAATGACTGAAGTTTCGAACTTATTTCCTGTGTAAGAGATTTGTTTTCTTCTTTTGTAGAAACAAGGGCAGCTTCTGTACTTTGAAGAGTGCTTTTTGTCTGATCTAACTCGGCTTGGAGATCACGAACTTGCTTCTTAATTTTTTCCACTTCGTTTGTTGGAAAGGTCGTCTGGTTCTTTATTTCTTGAATCTCAGTTATAGAAAGACCAAGGGAGGTAAAATCCTTCAACACTCTGTCTACAAAAGTTTGGAAGTCGGCATCTGTCAACCTAGCCTCGGTGATATGAGCGATCGCGTTTCGCACCTGACGAACATCATCGACCAATTTAAGGACAGTTGGACTTAAAGTGCTGCCAACAGTGTCTGAGTACAGGATGGCAAAAAACAAACAGGTGCAGTCCCACTTTGCCGTGTTACCATTGTGGATTGTTGCCAGACACCGGGCGTTTTTCTTGTGACTTGCTTTAGATTCATTGTTGAAGAAATCAAGACCATTTTGTGCCGTGTCTTTCCATTCTCCAATCGACGTTGCTTTATAGAGGAAATCCCATTCGTTTTTGAAAATCTGCCGCAGTCCTGCTGGAACCAAATCAAATGCTATGTAGCAGAGTCTGAAGTAGTTAAGTTGCTCTTGCGAGTATTCCATCTGACCAACTTTCAATTCTGTGAAAGATATTTAATTTGTTTCTAACTTACTTTTAGTCAGATCAAAAGTAGGTTGTTTGCTTATTCATATTGAAATGTGAACCAGAGACCTATGATGAACACAGGAATCGCAAAAGATTATGAAAAGCTAGTAGCTAATTATAAACTCCGTTAAATAAGAGACGCCAGGCCAAATACACAACATGCTTTTCCGGTGCCTTGTTCATGACGTGCTTAAAAGATTTGTTAAATAAGTTTAAAGAGTAGGGAGGGGTGGGAGATAGACAGGGGGATGACTCATCCCCAGTCGTCTCTATTTGGAGAGCATACGTGACTGAAGGGAGAGCGAGGGTTGATGTACACTAATGCCAAGTTGTTATAACTTGTTGTTACATTGACATGATCTTCACCAAAAATCTTTTTGGAAATCATCAGTGCTTTTTCGTGAAGTTCTTTGGCTTGATTGTATTCTTTCAGGTTGTTGTATACCACTCCACTCACGTTCAAAACCTTCCATTCAAGAGTTACCGCACCCGTTGAAGTGTCGTCTAAGTTGCCCAATAGATTGTGAGCTAAGTTGGCCACAAGTTTCGCAAAGTAGAAATAGGAGCTTTTTTGACAGACCCACGCGAGAGTACGTAGCCAATCAATAATTGTATTCAAATCTAGGAAGGGCGCAAACCTTTCTAAAAAAGTGGTTTGATCCAAACTAAACTCTGACGTCATCTGCTTAAGTAAAGATTCACAGTGGGACCTCAATTTTTTACAAAACGCATAATTTCCTTCATTTTCGTCAAGTTCAACCTTGAAAATCTTTACCGCTTCTGCCATGGTGTGGTCACTCACAAATGATTTCAGGTAAGGTATCTCGCCTCTTTTCAAAACTTCATGAACAATTTTGTGTAAACGTAAATAAGTTCGTTCACCACCTTCTTCGGAATGAACAAGAATTAAAGAGGACTTTACAATCTTTGCTTTCATTAAAACCTCTGGCTGGTCTTTTACTTGGGCTTTGACGAACTTTAAAACAGTTTCGAGTGGTAGGTCGTCGTTAGCGCAGACCGACAGAAAAGAGAATGTATGACGAAGAACCTCGTCTGTTTCAACAGCTCTCTGGATAGCCATTTCTACTGCGGCCATTGTTGTTTTAGCGTAGGCTGAACTCTCATTAGCAAGGACAGTTTCGGTCGTTTTTCGCTGGCTGTATGTTGATATGTCTTGAAGATATGCTTTCCAGTCATATTTTGAAGACCCACCTGTCACAACAGTTTGCACGTAATAAGCAGCAGCCGCTAAAGCCAGCGGCTGAAAATCGAGAAGATCAGCGACATTTTCTTCTTGTCCTGGCTCTGAAATTTGCGATACTGTTTCCAGCAATTCCACTGCCTCGTCGCGCCCCATTCCTTTGCTAAACGATTGATGATACGTGTGAGGAGCGTTTTGAGGAATTGTACCACTATCTTGGGTGGTAATCAGCACTTGCCCATGGCCCCATTCTTTACTGCCAGTTTGAGGAAGCAACTCGCGGACTAAGCGTAAGTCAATCACATTGTCTGCTATTATCAACCATTTGGCAAACTTGCTGGTCTTCGGCATAATCAAGCGATGGAGCTGTTTAATTGCTTCAATAGGTTTCACATTTTTTAAAGATTCTAAGCTTGTCAACGCGTATTCTGTTATCCCTAGGTGTCTTCCAAGGGTGAGGTAAGAGTCAACAAGTGTCTCAATGTTTTCTGTGTTCAGTGTCGCAGCAAAGAAAAGATCATTGTTTTGTTCATAAAAGAGCTGTTGTCCAATTTCCCGAGCAAGTTGGCTCTTGCCACATCCTGGATTTCCTGACAAATACACTGTACTGACTGCTCCGCTGGAACTCTTGTAAAGTTCCTCCATTTTGTTAATGATTCTTTCAATATCATACGAGCGCCTAATGATAACATGTGGTGGGCGCGATGCGAGAATGCAAAATGACTGAAGTTTCGAACTTATTTCCTGTGTAAGAGATTTGTTTTCTTCTTTTGTAGAAACAAGGGCAGCTTCTGTACTTTGAAGAGTGCTTTTTGTCTGATCTAACTCGGCTTGGAGATCACGAACTTGCTTCTTAATTTTTTCCACTTCGTTTGTTGGAAAGGTCGTCTGGTTCTTTATTTCTTGAATCTCAGTTACAGAAAGACCAAGGGAGGTAAAATCCTTCAACACTCTGTCTACAAAAGTTTGGAAGTCGGCATCTGTCAACCTAGCCTCGGTGATATGAGCGATCGCGTTTCGCACCTGACGAACATCATCGACCAATTTACAGACAGTTGGACTTAAAGTGCTGCCAACAGTGTCTGAGTACAGGATGGCAAAAAACAGACAGGTGCAGTCCCACTTTGCCGTGTTACCATTGTGGATTGTTGCCAGACACCGGGCGTTTTTCTTGTGACTTGCTTTAGATTCATTGTTGAAGAAATCAAGACCATTTTGTGCCGTGTCTTTCCATTCTCCAATCGACGTTGCTTTATAGAGGAAATCCCATTCGTTTTTGAAAATCTGCCGCAGTCCTGCTGGAACCAAATCAAATGCTATGTAGCAGAGTCTGAAGTAGTTAAGTTGCTCTTGCGAGTATTCCATCTGACCAACTTTCAATTCTGTGAAAGATATTTAATTTGTTTCTAACTTACTTTTAGTCAGATCAAAAGTAGGTTGTTTGCTTATTCATATTGAAATGTGAACCAGAGACCTATGATGAACACAGGAATCGCAAAAGATTATGAAAAGCTAGTAGCTAATTATAAACTCCGTTAAATAAGAGACGCCAGGCCAAATACACAACATGCTTTTCCGGTGCCTTGTTCATGACGTGCTTAAAAGATTTGTTAAATAAGTTTAAAGAGTAGGGAGGGGTGGGAGATAGACAGGGGGATGACTCATCCCCAGTCGTCTCTATTTGGAGAGCATACGTGACTGAAGGGAGAGCGAGGGTTGATGGGAAGGAGGAAAACGAAAGGGAGAGACTCTGTCCCATCATCCCAAGTTTTCCGTCCGAGAGAAAGTTGCTGACGTATTGAGTACATCAATAATATCAAAAAGCGCGTTTTTCACCGGAGCAAATTATGAAATAAAATGTGCAAACGCATGTTAATTAAGCATGTTAATTAAGCACTTTTCCTAGTATTCTGGAGTTATTGTCATGAGATAGCGTCTATTAGACAAGTGGTGTTCATTAGTGAGAGGCGTCCAATACAAACCTAGAAGCGTGGGGGTAGGGGGGGGGGCGGTGGACAACAGGCGTTTATATGAGTGGAGGCGTCAATTAGATCATGAACTGATAAGTATGTTATCATTCAACGTCAGTATCTCCTGCTCCATTTTTAAAACCAACCAGTGAAAACTGAAAGTCTATTTGAATCAATGCAGTACAATAATATTTTTTTGTGTTCAAGGCCGTTTCGACTAGCGCTTGAATTAATTGGCAAGTTGAGGGTAACATATATTCTAGAGGTAAATATTACTAGAATAAAAGAAGGATAAAAAGCAGGAGGGAGGTAAATCCTGTTTGTTTGGAAATGATATGCAAGCATTGTTGACTCCAGAGCTCCCCCCCAAAAAAACAGGCTATGGAGTAGAGCATGGTAGGGTGGGGTTGTCACGAGTAGCACCACCGTCCCATAGACAGGAAAAGAGTGCGCGAAAAGAATGTCAGTTAAAAAAGTACATTTATCTCTTTCAATCCTAGACCGAGTCATCCGGGTCTGGAAGAGCGCCCACTCCTTTGTCACGAAAATCCCACATCCCCCATTTTTTTCATCTCTTTCCTGAATCCCGTTTTTGTCTCCAAATTACATACGTTAAAAAAGAATAATTGCTTTGAAAACCAATAAATACAAGGTGTAGATTGGCCCTTTTCAATTGATATTTTGAATTTACGAGTGTTTTACGGCCATTGCAAGAAAGAAATAGCTTTTCGTACCTCAGTTTGACAAAGCGGAGGGGAAAAGGAGGAAAAAACGATGAGGGAAAGAGAAAGGAGGAGGAGGATTTCTTCCCCCTCTCTCCCAGCCCCGAACCTCCTCGAATGTTTTTTCTGCTCACTCTTTGCGCTTCCCCCGCTATATCTAAAGTTAAACCGATTAAATTATTTCTTCAAGACACAATAAATGTAAAGAGCTTCAGCATAAGCACTAAGTCATGTGTACTTTTCTGGCATCCAGTTAAAACAGTGGGTCTTCTGTTAGTCTGCAACACAGCCGTTTTTAGTGTCGTCACGCAATGCTGGGGAGGAGCGTTGCGTGACGACACTAAAAACGGCTGTGTAGCAGACTAGTCTTCTGTACGCTCGTCTGTTGATCATGATTACTTGACAGTTCCAATTAAGCAATCATTACCTACCATCATTTTATAGTTTGCAGGGGCGGATCCAGGATTTTTTTTAGGAGGGGGTGCACTCATCTCTTGTTCTACTTCAACACCAATAAACCACATAGTTTTTTCTTTTGCAGAATACCAGTTGTATTAGAAAACCGCAGGTCATCTCTGGGGAGGGGGGGGTGCGCACCCCCTGCACCCTCCCCCTAGATCCGCCCCTGGTTTGCTTTCATACTAGGAGACACTAGTGAACGCTCACCTGTTTGACTTCGCATTTGCCGCTAGAACTTACGACTTCCTGAATTCGCGACAGACAGGACAGAAAATCCCGCATCCCCTGCCCAAATTCTGGTGAATCCCGCTTCCCTGGTAGAAGTCAAATCCCGTTTCCCGTCAAGATATTTTGCGTTTTTCCCGAATCCCGCACCGTATTTTGGTCAGTTCCCGAATCCCACAAATACCCTTCCAGACCCTAAGTTATGGTGAGATTACCCGTCGTTTTTAAGTTGTACTTGTGGACCTTTTAATGGTGTACCCGCACCCACGCAGACGTTCTGAACGCGTGACGAAGCCCTAAAGAACGCGACTCTGGGTGGGAAGCTCACGTGAGATTCCGACTGGAAATAAATGTCCGCGTTCGAAGGCTTGTTTATCTAGCAGAAGTGATAACAATTAAAATGAAACCTCTCTCTCTTTGGCCGTTCTCTTTGGCGGAATTTGTACCTTAGCCACGTTTAGGACTGACAGGGATGAAATTTATGAATGATTACCCAGTCATCACAGCACACAAATAATTGCAAACTGAATGATGATTTGGCAGTGTTCCAAACATGAAAAATGTTCCGTATTGATCGTGGACAACGATTGACCCACTGCGATCGACGTATTATTCAGGCTATGGGATGTTAACAACCCCTTTATGCACGTATTGTTAGCGAAAGAGCGACCATAAGCGGTCATGATAATCCAGTTTTCAATAATCTCGCAGTGAGGACAGTGTAAGGAGGTGTATTCACGGCAAATGTTGTGTGGTGAACATTATAACAGTTTCGACGAAGAAGAAATTCATTACAAATGAACCCTTTTGTTCACCTCAAACTCTACACCACGCATCAAACAGGACTCAAGACAGTGGCGACAATTACCTATGCCGAGGCCATTAAACGTCGGACCAAACACGACGATATGTTAAAACGCTTCAGACGGACTTTAACCGAGTAGATCTATTTAACGGCCAGCACATACAAAACGTCCTATTGTGCCAAACTATCACAAAAGAATTTGCCTGGATTAATTTCAAGCTATGTTAAGCTGAATATCCAACGCAAAATTACTCACCTTGCCCAAAAGAATCCAAGGTACGGTACGATGAAAAAGCGGAACTGCAGAAAATGAAAGTGATCTGATGGAAATTGTGATCACGTGAGCAATATAATACAGACGGTCACGCTATTTTAGACAGTCACGCTATTTGTTGAAAGTACAGATCCTCTTAGGGGAAGGGGGGTAGACTTTTTCAAAGTCGTTCGCATGGTTTTCTGGTCGAAAAAGCTCGACTTGTGATCAAGTCTAGAACGGGGGTTGCGGCACCCCGAGGTCCAACCCCTTACCCTTTTATATACCATTTTTTCACGAAAAAGGTACCCCTTTCGTATACCTTTTATTGACGAATGGTACCCTTTTCACATACCTCCTTTAGAACTTTGCATCCTTTACATGTCTTTCAACTAGGAATTAAACACAAACATGGAACGTTTTCTCGACTTAATAAAGCCATAAAATTTATCTGTTAGCCCTTTTGGGCCCTTTTACAGAAACAAATTACAGATTTCCCCACCCTTTTAAATACTTCCACTAATGAAATCTCTACCCGGTCACCTACCTGAAGCCTGAAAAAAAATAATAAAATAAACCCCTATCGGGCGGAGCCTCTCCGTATAGGCCATCATAGGGAGTATACCTCGGCCTACGGAGCCCTAGAGGGAGGGAAACCCTTAAAAAAATTAAAGGAAGCGTATGCTCGTTTAGCCTACGAACAGCAGACAGCTACGAAATACGTCTGCTGTTCGCAGGCTAATCCTCGTCGAAAAACAAAAATTAAACCTCTCAAGGAGACCATTCTTGGCTTGGCTCCTAAAGGAGAGAGAATTCAATACCTTTGTAGGTAAAAATATGGTCCTGAACGCCCTAAGTGAAACCAAAACCTGCGACGAGCATCCCCGTCATGGTTTTCAAATTAGAGTCCCCGGAGTCCCCGGGTGGGAGGGGGGTGGGAAATATATGCGCATGTATAAAAAGGTTGAAGATGAGACGTAATTTAAAAAAAACGCCAACTTTTGTCACGTAGAAGCTCGTCATATCTTTGTCCTAGAGTACAAAGAAGGAGGATAGTAAGTTCTTGATAGCAATGACCCTGTAGTCAACACTTGATGAATAAAAGGACTAACTCCATGAGCAAATTCAGTTTAGGTTTAAGCCATAGCATAGGGGCATGGTTCGTTAACATGGAGTGAACACATCAATAAAAAGGTCCTAATTAAAATTATTTCATCGTAATGTAGTGTTGATTAAAAGCATGTGCCAAGCCTTTTGCGAAAATCCCTTGTACGTTAGCGCTTTCAATAAGTTTATCTCATTGTCGCTTAGAAGAGCCCATTCTCGTAAATGACTGACCATCTCTACTTACAATCACTTTTACAAACTGACGGGATGATTGCTTACAGTGATGATGATGATAATAATAATAATAATATACATTTATAAAGCGCCTTTCTCTTAGTGATCCACAGCGCTTTACAATGAGTACTAATGGTAATAAACCTAACAAAATATTACAATGAAAAAAAAAATAATAATAATAATAATAATAAATAAAATAAAATTACAGCTGAAAAGCACGCTTTAAAAGAAATGTTTTGATTTTTGATTTGAAAGCGCCCAGCTCACAACTTGTGCTTATACTGACTGGCATGGAATTCCATATCTTAGGAGCTGCGTGCGAAAAAGCTCTGTAACCATAGGTTTTAACTGGTTGTATTTAGTTTGTACTAAGAGTCCTTTATCTGCAGAACGCAGAGCTGTTGTTGGTCTATAACGAACTAACAGTTCTTCCATATAAGGCGGTGCTACATCATTAAGTGATTTAAATGTAAGAAGTAAAAGTTTAAAATCAGTTCTTTCCGGAATAGGCAACCAATGAAGAGACCTTAAGATGGGTGAAATATGTTCATGTTTCCTAGTTTAAGTCAAAAGACGTGCGGCAGAATTTTGCACAAGATGAAGTTTGTTAATATGATCCTGTCGAAGCCCAGATAAGAGAGAGTTACAGTAGTCCAGTTTTGACGTAATAAATTCATTTATTAAAACTCTCTTGCAGTGAGTAAACGATATTTATTTCCTAATTTTGGCGATATTGCGCAGATGGAAGAAGGCCGATTTGCAGACTGCTTTCACTTGTTTGTCCATTGATAGAAATTTATCGAACCAGACCCCTATATATGTTCTTTGCGGCATGTGAAGAATGTATCACGTCACGGCCAACTGTAATAGACTCCATTGGAGGACGAAGACGATGGCAAGCGTTGAACACAAGGAATTCAGTCTTGTCACTGTTCAGCATCAACTTGTTTGATGTCATCCAGTTGGTAATATCGCTGATGCATGACTGAATAAGAGACAGTGAGTGCATCGGTTCTCCAGTAGCCTTTGGGTTAAACGAAAGGTATAACTACGTGTCGTCAGGATAGAAGTGAAAGTTTAAGCCATGTTGTCTTATTATGTCTGTAAGGGGTGCGGTCCTTGGGGGACACCGCAGAGAAGCTTTCGACTGGTGGAGTGCTCATTTGCCACTATGACAAATTGGGTGCGGTCTGTCAAGTAGGACGTTAACCAAGATAAGGCCTTTCCGGTGATTCCGAAACGATGTTCAAGTCTACCAAGTAGTATGTCATGATCTACTGTGTCGAAAGCAGCGGAAAGATCCAGTAACACGAGTATGACGCAACTATTATCGTCGATTGCGAGTAAAATGTCATTGTGAATACGAGTGAGAGCTGTTTCAGTGCTATGTCCCATTCGATAAGCTGATTGAAACATCTCATGTAGATTGTTATTGACAAGATGTTGATTAAGGCGTAGGGCTACCACCTTTTAAGGTGCTTTAGAGACAAATCTTAGATTTGAGATGGGGCTGAAATTTTTATGAGCCTCATGGTCGAGTGAGTCCTTCTTAAGTATTGGATCTAAAACAGCTTCCTTGAAGCACGCAGGTACAGTAGCGTTATCAAAGGACAGGTTAATTACAAGGACTTTGAATGTGGAGCCGGAAACCGTCTGCCCTTTTTAAAACTTAACACCCTCCAAACAATACACTGCGGCATCTACAGGTTTAGGCCAAATATGGAAGTGCCCTTCGAGCTTGGGAAGGGGGCTGGGGTGTTGACCGTTGATTCACACTCTAATTGGTGTGGGTAAATTTCAGTGATAAGTTGATCCAAAAAGAACCAAAAACAGTAAACTGATCCTTACGGCAGGAAGAGTGATAGAAAAATAAAGAACGAAAACAAAAATAAAGTGGTGAATTAGTGGTGAATTCCAAAAAGAACTCGCATCTCATCCAAATAAAAGTGTTTAAGTTTTAACCCCACCTCTCAGCAAATTCTTTTTCCGCTTTACTCCTCCGGCCTGATAAACAAAAAAAAACATAACGGCCATTCAAGTCCCCCATACTTCATATGTTTATAGCAATTTTCCATAACCATAGACTACGAGCAGTCTCTCTTTTTTCTTGGTCCATCGAGCAAAACGCGCGAGACACGCAAACGACCACGCGCGTGACTGAAGGCGCGAGACGGGAAAGGCACGAAAAGAGAGAAGCTGTTATCTCTTTTTCATTTTCGTATCTCGCGCCCTCGCGTCTCGCGGCCGCTCGACGCTCGCACGCGCGTGAACTCCCCTCACTAAATCTGAAGAAAAAGAGAGATGGCTCGCAGTCTACCATAACCAGGTAGTGTGGAAATAAAGGTTAATACCTCAGATAAATTTCTACATGACGTAAACTAGATATTTATTGTAGCAAGTTTTTGGGCGTGAACTAACGCTGTTCTTTGTTTGCAGCTTTCCGTGTGTTTCTCAACATAACCTCCTTTATTCTCTTTGTGCTTTCTCGTGCCGATCCTCAGCTCGACTGCTTACAGGTTGCTTGTTTACTAATTCCAAGTCACTACGAATTCTTTCTACACACTTATGATCTTCACCGAAAATTTGTTTTCTAATCATCAGTACTTTTTCGTAAAGTTCTTTGGCTTGATTGTATTCTCCCAAGCGGTTGTACACTGATGCCAAGTTGATATAACTTCTTGCTACAGCGGCATGATCTTCACCAAAAATCTTTATGTAAATCGTCAGTGCTTTCTCGGTAAGTTCTTTGGCTTGATTGTATTCTCCCAGACGGATGTACACTGATGCCAAGTTGCTATAACTTGTTGCTACATCGGCATGATCCTCACTAAAATTCTTTTTTCGAATCGTCAGTGTTTTTTCGTGAAGTTCTTTGGCTTGGTTGTATTCTCCCAGGCTGTTGTACACTAATCCCAAAATGTCATAACTTGTTGCTACGCTGGCATGATCTTCAATAAAAATCTTTTTGTAAATCATCAGCGCTTTTTCCTGAAGTTCTTTGGCTTGATTGTATTCTTTCAGGCTGTAGCACAATAATCCCAAATTGTCATAACTTTTTGCTACATTGGCATGATCTTCACCAAAAATCTTTTTGTAAATCATCAGTGCTTTTTTGTGAAGTTCTTTGGCTTGATTGTATTCTTTCAGGCTGTCGTACACTACTGCCAAGTTATTACAAATTGTTGCTACAGCGGCATGATCTTCACCAAAAATCTTTCTGTAGATCATCATTGCTTTTTCGTAAAGTTCTTTGGCCTGATTGTATTCTTTCAGGCTGAAGTGCACTGTTGCCAAGTTGTTGTAACTTGTTGCTACATCTTCATGATCTTCACCAAAAATCTTTTTGCGAATCGTCACAGCTTTTTTGTGAAAGGTTTTGGCTTCATTGTATTCTCCCAGGTTGTTGTATACTAATGCCAAGTTGTCATAACTTGCTGCTACAACGGCAACATCTTCACAAGAATTTTTTTTTGTCAGTGCTTTTTTGCAAAGTTCTTTGGCTTGATTGTATTCTTTCAGGCTGTCGCACACTACTGCCAAGTAAAACTTCCTGCTACATTGAAATGATCTTTGCCAAAAATGTTTTTGCAAATTGTCAGTGCTTTTTCGGTAAGGTCTTTGGCTTGATGGCATTCTCCCAGGCTTAGGTATATTTGGCCGCCCACATTCAACACTTCCCATCTACGGGTTAACGCACCCGTTGAAGTGTCGACTAAGCTCCCCAGTAGATCGAATGCTAAGTTGACCACAATTTTCGCAAAGAAAAAATAGGAACTTTTGTGACAGACCCATGAAGGCTAGAGTATGTAGCCAATCAATAACTGTATCCAAATCTACGAAGGGTGCAAACCTTTCTAAGAAAGTTCTGTGATCCAAACTAAACTCTGACGTCATCTGCTTTAGTAAAGATTCACAGTGGGGCCTTAAGTTTTTAAAAAACGCATAATTCCCGTCATTTTCGTCAAGTTCAACCTTGAAAATCTTTATCGCTTCTGCTATGGTGTGGTCACTCTCAAATGATTTCAGGTAAGCTATCTCGCCTCGTTTCAAAACTTCATGTACAACTTTATGTAAACGTAGATAAGTTTGTTCACTCCCTTCTTCGGAATGAACAAGAATTAAAGAGGACTTTACAATCTTTGCTTTCATTAAAACCTCTAGCTGGTCTTTTACTTGGGCCTTGACGAACTTTAAAACAGTTTCGAGAGGCAGATCGTCGTTAGCGCACAGCGAAAGAAAAGAGAATGTATGACGAAGAACCTCGTCTGTTTCAACAGCTCTGTGGATAGCAATTTCTACTGCGGCCACTGTTTTTTTAGCGTAGGCTGAACTCTCATTAGCAAGGACAGTTTCGGTCTTTTTTCGCTGGCTGTATGTTGATATGTCTTGAAGGTATGCTTTCCAATTATAATTTGAAGACCCACCTGTCACAACAGTTTGCACGTAATAAGCAGCAGCAGCTAAAGCCAGTGGCTGAAAATCGAGAAGTTCAGCGACATTTTCTGCTTGTACTGGCTCTGAAATTTGCGTTACTGTTTCCAGCAATTCCACTGCCTCGTCGCGCCCCATTCCTTTGCTTAAAGATTCATGATACGTGTGAGGAGCGTTTTGAGGAATTGTACCACTATCTTGGGTGGTAATCAGAACTTGCCCATGGCCCCATTCTTTACTGCCAGTTTGAGGAAGCAAGCGTAAGTCAATCACATTGTCTGCTATTATCAACCATTTGGTAAACTTGCTGGTCTTCGGGACAATCAAGCGATGGAGCTGTTTAATAGGTTTCACAGTTTTTATAGATTTTAAGCTTGTCAACGCGTATTCTGTTATCCTTAGGTGTCTTCCAAGGGTGAGGTAAGAGTCAACAAGTGTCTCGATGTTTTCTGTGTTCAGTGTCGCAGCAAAGATAAGATCATTGTTTTGTTCATAAAAGAGCTGTTGTCCAATTTCCCGGGCAAGTTGGCTCTTGCCACATCCTGGATTTCCTGACAAATACACTGTACTGACTGCTCCGCTGGAACTCTTGTAAAGTTCCTCCATTTTGTTAATGATTCTTTCAATATCATGCGAGCGCCTAATGATAACATGTGGTGGGCGCGATGCGAGAATGCAAAGTGACTGAAGTTTCGAACTTATTTCCTGTGTAAGAGATTTGTTTTCTTCTTTTGTAGAAACAAGGGCAGCTTCTGTACTTTGAAGAGTGCTTTTTGTCTGATCTAACTCGGCTTGGAGATCACGAACTTGCTTCTTAATTTTTTCCACTTCGTTTGTTGGAAAGGTCGTCTGGTTCTTTATTTCTTGAATCTCAGTTACAGAAAGACCAAGGGAGGTAAAATCCTTCAACACTCTGTCTACAAAAGTTTGGAAGTCGGCATCTGTCAACCTAGCCTCGGTGATATGAGCGATCGCGTTTCGCACCTGACGAACATCATCGACCAATTTACAGACAGTTGGACTTAAAGTGCTGCCAACAGTGTCTGAGTACAGGATTGCAAAAAACAGACAGGTGCAGTCCCACTTTGCCGTGTTACCATTGTGGATTGTTGCCAGACACCGGGCGTTTTTCTTGTGACTTGCTTTAGATTCATTGTTGAAGAAATCAAGACCATTTTGTGCCGTGTCTTTCCATTCTCCAATCGACGTTGCTTTATAGAGGAAATCCCATTCGTTTTTGAAAATCTGCCGCAGTCCTGCTGGAACCAAATCAAATGCTATGTAGCAGAGTCTGAAGTAGTTAAGTTGCTCTTGCGAGTATTCCATCTGACCAACTTTCAATTCTGTGAAAGATATTTAATTTGTTT